ATATATTGTACCTATTTACAAACTTTTATACGTTTATCATTAGAATACTTTAAAGACATCCCTTGAGAAACACACAGTCTTAAACAATAGACAGGTTTTTTTGCAATTTACCAAGCTTTGAAACATATCGAATCTTAAAAATGTGTAGAAACTGAAAGCTCTTCAATTATCAACTGCTATAATGTATACTTTCTGGTTTATCTGTAGGCAAAATGTCATTACCTTATGGTACAATTTGGGTAAAAATCAATGTCAAAGATCAAGAACGAACAAAGCCAAATTGTTCAAAAATTAAGCTATATGAGTGTCTCTGGTGCTTATATGATAAAACTTTTCTAAATGAATCTAACATGTCTGATAAGAGTTCCAAGTTGGTTGACCACTATAGAATATCTGTTTTACAGATGACATTGCATACTGTTCCAATTGTCGGTTACCACAATCCCGTTTTTTCCTAGAATTTTGCCTACCGAATGAGACTAATCACCGGCTTTGTACAGTTATTGCACTCGTTCCGTTGGTTGATATTGTTTGATTTTGTCAGTTTCTAATCTTAAGATCTAAGTGTGCTGAGTTAACAAATGTATGACGTTCAAGATTGTTTTTACCAAATCTGATGTTGAAGTATGGTACTTTTGCAATGTCCTTTGGTCAATATTACAGAGATATTATATAAAGACGATGTCACATGATAAACTAACTCTTTATCTTTTCTGTAACCCTTTTCGTCATTTTCCTTCAGACCATCAATTTCGAAAGTAAAGGTCTGGTGGATCGAACAGTGTTCTCTTCTTCTTGCAGCGTTAACCCACTCATTGTTCCCTTCTATAATTTTGTTACGCACCTTTATCAAAAGGATGCTTCTTTCGTAGGGAAACAGTTTTTGTTAGTTTTGTACCATGACTGATGACACAGGTGTAAATTGAGTTCTCATTTTTACAATTGAAATTTCGAAGATTGTTTATCTGTGTTTTGTAAAGGAGTCGCTGAAGAACTTTTAGTAGTGGCAATTTTACTACAGAAACAATCCATTCTCCCACATTGTTCGTATTAACAAAGGGATGGCATATGTTACTTTTGTTACTACTTAGTCACAGATGTGTTTTGACCTTCTGCAGGACATGACTGGTGGTGAGGAAAATACTTTTTTTCCAAATTGGAGTCATTCCCTTCAGTTTCCCAATGATTTTCTAACAATGGAAGACACATTTTTTTAAAATTAGAATGGCAAGTGAGTACAAGAGGTGTACAGTTGGCTTCATGATTCTAATCTCTGTACTTCACTGCGGACAATTATGCTTGCTTTTTCACAGCTGCTCTCTTCATAGTTCACCTAAAGTTGAACTTCATTGCAATCATATATATCCTGATTAAACATTATCACCTTTCAATATGCAAATTTTAAAATAATGTATGTGTGACATAAGTCAGCAATTAACCTATTTCTAAAATATTCAAGTGGTCTGAATACTTTAAAAGCGTATACTACATGTACTTTGTCGCATATCTTCCTTTATTTCTATCTTCAAAATCAAGGTGAAGTAAATGTGAATCCAAATATATTTGTTCCTTCAGTAAAAGTTTAATAAATGCACATTTATTTGTTAGTCAAAGAAAGCAACGACAAAAGCCGCATGTTTTTTTTAGTAGAACTTCTATTACAAAATGTTATCAATTCTAATTGATTGAATCTGTGGTTTGACACCTACACATACATTGTGTCTTTACAAATACTATTACTTTCACATTTAGAAGGTCGAACTATACTTAGAAAATTTGAGATCTGCTAGAATTTTAACTGCAACATATCAATTATCTGTTACTAGAAAATTACGATGTGTATGTTGTCAAACAATGGTGGAAAATCACAAAGAACATTACCGTGTCTACTGTCATAGTAATAAACTTAATTTTTCAGTCGTCAATGCATTTATGCATTTATTAAAAGGATAATGCAGGATGCAGTAAAAGAAACCTTTCGCCGAGAAGTTTTCTAGTTTGAAAAAAGAAAATTTTGAAATTATACTTTTCAATAATTGATTTATCATTTATTTATCTCTCTAAATCTAATATCCCCTACACGCTAATAAAGTTTATAGGAATATAATCCTGGTCGTACAACATGATAAAAGAGAGATAATCAAATTTATTTACTGCAATGTACTAATAGAATAGTGGAAAACACACAATTATAATTTTGTAGGTAGGGGGTATTATAATTGGAGGGGATTTCGTTGACCTTATACGAAAAGAAAGACCTTCATTTTTTAAATATTTTGTTATGAAATTACAACATGTACAAATGAAATAAAGAAACGTCGAACAATCTGTTTTCAGTTCACACACAATTCTGGAATTTTATTAATTCTTTTGATTGTTTGAATGGTTGGTGGGAGAGGGGGTTTGGTAAGTGTTTTAATTGATGTGAATAGAAAGGCTTTTCTGATTTTTAAATGATTTTTATATGAAATAACAAATAAAATGATAAGAAAAGCCAAAATATTTGTTCTTTAACAGGATGTTACAATACGTGTTAAAATATCAAAGTTTCTATCCAAAATTCCAATTAAAAGTAGTAATCTGGTGTTTATAAGTTCTTTTAAACTTTTTCACATTTTTAGAAGTTGTAGTTCTTCAACCTTATGTTGATGACTCACATCTTGTTTGAAACAAACAGCCTGAAAGCTCTCTTTTTGCAGATGGTGCTATATGGTAAAGTGTATGAGGTATCATAATTGCCTATTAAATTAGCATAAATAGTTATTGTAGTAAACTGGTGATGTTAATATGGACCTTTCTACTAAATAATGAATTGTATGTGCTTGTGTAACAGTTTAATCACAAGCAAATATCGCCATCTGTGAAACAGATATTCCATAACTGTCAAATAACTCGTGATGGCGTCCATAAAATTTTCAAAGGGGGATTCGGCTTGAGCGTTCCTGATGAAGGTATAACAAGAAAAGCGCTTATGACGCATGCAATTTTTAAGGCTTCAATTGTTTACCAGTTTGGTTGATACTCCATATACTGACGCTACTAAAATGATGCTACAAAGAGATGGAAGATTCATAAATGGGAAGTTCATATCATTTCTTATGTCGTAAAGTTTTGTTCGTAACTGACACTTTTTGTAAATTTGCAGATGGAAGTCAAGATGTGACGTAGACGTATCTGTATTTATGATATCCTTATTTCAAGTGGATTGGGAAAGAATGCGTTTACCATGCTTAGACTTTAACTTTGCATTATCTAGTGAGATGAACCATCTATATAGCGTAACATATCTAAGGATAATGCTATCTTCTCATTCTTCCTAAGAAGCTCATGTCTGTCTCATATGATGAAAAGGGAACAAGTCAACATGTAGAGGAGCAGAGATGGTTCTGACAGGAATTGCGATTGTTTATCGAAACTTACGTCCTCCAAACGTAACAAATATGTTATCAATCAAGAAATCAAGCATATTGACAATATCTTGGATTTAATATTTATTTATCCCTCTCTGGTGGTTTATGTATCTACGTTGTTCTTTCTTTTTTTATGAATCAGAAAAGGACAAATTCCTTCAATGTGTCTAAAAGTTTTGCATGATCCAAACTTGTGTAAAGGATTACACATACTCTAAGAGAACTTTTGTTTTGTTAATACCAATGTCTGAAGTTGAGTTTACGTGAATTGTCTTTACCGGTAATTACTTTATCAAGCATGCGCAGTTCATCTTATGTTGTTTACACCCAAAGACAATTTATTGGGGCCTTTATCTGCGGGGACAACAACATATATATCATGAAGGTAGGACAGGTACTTAGCAACATTTGGGTCTTTGAATATGGGTGTAGATATCGTGTTTATAGACTATCAGTTTTTTCTAGTTATCATTTGTATCCACGAACTCACTACCTTAGCCTATTCGGAAAGAGTACCTTCCTTTTTTTTCGCCTGTATCCTTGCATAATTCCTGACTGAATCCAATAGTATTTCAAAAGATAAGTTACCAAGTGATGAATTTAGGCTCATGATATTTCGGGTCTTTGAATAACACGTTTAGCAGAGAAGTGTTATTGACAATGTACAAGTCACCAGTGATTACGTGGTCACCCGAATTATGTGTGAATAGAGAAATAGCACATATGCAATCTGCAGGTTCAGACTTAAAGTATTTTATCTTGCATCACATGCTTGTAATTAAAACTTTTAATCCTAATTGTCTTGGTGTAGGTTTTCGAGATGCTAGGTATAGACTGATCTTAAAAGAAGGAATGAATTTGTGATTGAACTGTTAAACTCTCCCAACAGTGGTGTCGTTTTGATGGTATATGGGATGTATAAATACATAATAACTTGATGTCGGTATTAACAAGTTACAACCAATACCGCGTGTAGAACATCTATGCTGTCAGCAACAAGAGGTACACATTTTAAGGTCTGTAGATGATCTGTAGGGAGGCATATATCGGCTAATATCCATAATAAAGACTAGTGGAGTAGATTTTGCTTTCCCTTCCGGAGCCAATGAGATCACACACCGAATTTAAGTGTTGTTCAAGATATAGTTTTCTATGTAGTGTTTTTGTGACTTGAACGTATTTTCGTCGCATTCGTTTTTGGTATGGCTCTAAGAAACTATTGGTCACCATATGGCCTTCAGCAATGAGCAAATTTCTTTGACTGTTCATGACAAAGTGTAAAACAATCCAAACGAAAAATCAAAGGCCAGAGTTATAATAAAATGTAGAAGATGCTTTTGCAAACACAGACAATAAAAATTCAATGTTAATTAGCTTTTTGTGCGGTTGGAGTTGCTGTATCATTGAAATATATATCTTTTTGTGCGGTTGGAGTTGCTGTATTATTGAAATATATATACCGCATTTCCCTTTTATCATGATACAATTTCTCTCTCGCGCGATTGGTTGATATTCAATGAATAATATGTTTTGATTTTACTATCGAATCGTAGTAAAGTATTATTAAACTCAATGAGACAAACAACAGTACATTATATGAATGCTTCTTGCTAATAAGATCACATTAAAACAATTCAACACAGCAAATATACAAAGTCTATATAGGGTATAGATATACTATCTATTTAAAATCTAATTAATATTACACCTATCAAACACCTATCTTATCTAGTTTTTTTTTTGTTTTTTGTTTTTGTTTTGTAATGTTCTACTGAATTATTGTTTTGTGGGTTACTGATGTGTAATTGTGCACACAAAACACATGCAATCTCCTTGATGTCCTGTTGTTGTAATATCTATGCATTATGAACATAAAATCAAAGCTACCCTCTCATTTAAGGTCAATTTTTAGTCCCCGAGGGTATATATACATGTTTAGAATTCCCAGTATCTGTTCTCCCAATTGAACTATATCGATGATTAAAGACTTATATTCTTATAAAAAGTATTTGCCATAAAGAAATAAGGTTTCCTCAAATATCAGCAAATTCTATCGTGTTACTTGAGGTAAAATCGACAATGAATCAGAGGACGGCGAACAGAGTGTAAATATAGACATATTAGCATGTCAAAAAAATGTATTATAAATTAGGATTATTTTCAAAATTGAAGATACAATTGAATGGAATCATTTCAAAGTGGCAGCATCTTCAAAACGAAAAAAATTCAAGAATAATCAATGTCCTCCCAAGTGATTCATGATTCTACAATATCAAAATCCTCGGTTCCATTTTCACATTGTCTTGTGCTTATGAAATATCTGAATTTGCATTACATTTTTGTATAGCGATTGTCCTCTCATCCTGAAATTAAACATTTGTCCTAGTCTTGTTGCATGATTTATATAAAATCAGTCATAAAATTTACGGTACTCGTCTTAACGAAACAGATGCGCATTTCGACAATTTATTTCTTTTCAACGATGGTCGAAGCCAAACTATTTGAAATTTCAAATTCTAATACAAAATGACGATCTGATTAAACAAAAAAGGACCAAGAGTAAAGTCAAACCCGGATAATATAATCAAGAGGGATACATAAGTAAAGTATCATTTATGCAGAGGGTACGACAAGCAATAATTACACTTTTGATCGACAAAGCGTATGCAAATAATCAATACATGAACCCAATAAGCATGTCTCTCTCCTCAGGAATATCAAGCCAGGATTTCCAGCTTTTTTCTTTTAGAAACAATTTACCTTGAAGTTTCTTATTAATATATTTTATTTGAAGGATGTGTCATGAAATGAAATAATAAATTCAAAATTATAATCTCTGCTCCTTGATATATTGTTCAATATAAACAATCATTTGATCTACAAATGAATGAAGTTTTTTTTTTTTTTATCTCAAATTAGATTTAGATATTTTTAGGATATATTTTTTCTTGAGAGAACAAAGAATGAGACTCAAGCTGTTTTCCTCTTAAAGTTGACGTTTTTCCCTCGATTTTAGTTTGTAACCCGGATTTGTTTTCGCTTGATCGATTTATTACTATTGAACAGCGGTATACTACTGTTGCCTTTGTTTACATTTAAAGAAATCAGTTGTTAATTACCCCTAGAAATAAGCAGCTTAAAAATTATTAAAAGTTTCATGAATATCATCGATATTTTACTAGAGTGCTTATACTAGTTTTCAAAATTATTGTATATCAAATGTTGAATCATTCGAAACACTTAGGTTAATTTTTATCCCAAGGCATGAATTGTCTTCGCAGCATTTGGCACCACTTTTCCAGAATTTTCGGTTTCTTAATGCTTTTCAACCTCGTTTACGATTTGGCCTTCCAATGGTTTTAATTCCAGCGCCAAGGAGGAGCCTTATGTAGACGAAATGCGCGTCTGGCAAATTCTAAATCTTTTATCTTTGATGAGTTTTTATATGAGAGTTTTTATGGTGCTTTACCGCACATTGTTTTTTCGTAAGTGTATTATTTTTACTGATGTTAAATGCCAACAGACTTCTTGATATGAATATTTCTGCATTTTCTAAAATGCCATTAATTTTCTTCCTGTACGTTTTAATTGTGTTCTACCTAGTTGCTTCTTATTAAGAATGTAGAAACATTATACACAATAAAATCTACAGATGATAACAATAGACGACAACAAAGCATATTACACATTCAATACTCCAATATTGAATTTGTCCACCAATGACAAACACTAAACGTTTTCCTGTACTTATTTACTTACTGCCCTACCGGATGAATATTGTGCGAACTTCATTAAGCAATCGTAGTGAAGTAAGAGGGAATCATTTCATTTCTCATTCGTTAATTTATAGACTATTTTTCTATTTTTTTTTTGTTGGACCATTAGTCTCTATTCTTTATATTTTAGCACCCAATTATGCTCTATTTGTGTGGCCCTTTTTTTCAGCACATTTTGTCCATTAACCTTCATTCTGTAAACCCAATCCAGACCCTCCATTTTTGTCGAACGAAATTGGTGTGTAAAGTATTGCGAACAGTACAATAGTCAGTGTACATATATAATGTACAGTGATGATAACAACATATTTAGAATTTGTTAATGATCCCTGATTGAATATTTTCTTTGTTCTGAACCAAGTGGCACTCAAAGATAAGAATCCTTAGCAGGCGGCGTCACAAATTTATATTTGTCAGTATGTTCATCCGGAGAATGATTTGTTGAGCGGAGCCGAGTCTCAGAATTGAGTTCTGTGTGAGATGTTGGACAAGTTGATGTACGGGCAGCTGTTGTTGGTGATTTACATAATCTACCACTGAATGCCAGAAATATGAACGGGTTGGCACAGCTATTTAATCCTGTTAGTAACAGTATAATGGCCATAGCGGCTCCTGTAACGATAAAACATACGACATTTTGAAAGTAATTGTAAATTAGTCACATGAAAAATTAAATGATTTTCCTGTATTAGTTTTGTATTGTACAAAAATGGATGTTCTTGTATGTAGATTTTATAAATCAATTGTTTAAGAAAAGTCGTGTTTAACCACACGACATTTGTATTTGTCTGTTCCTTATTATAAACCTCCTCTTTTAGTAGCTGAAGTATATAATATTTTACTTTTATGTTATGTTTTTTTCTTCTTCATTATTTGAATCATTGAAATTCCATCACGTTAATTGCATATAAATTGTTTCTTCTGTAAACTTTATTTACTTCTTTTTTTAAACTCTATAAAAATTTTGTTATGATATATATTTAGGACAGGTGTCCTTAAATGTGTAATGTCTCAACTTTTCATTTCAGAATTTTGTGATTCCAAACACTTTGACAAACAAAAGATTGTAACTGCAATGTTACAGCATATTTTCCAACTTACTTTTGAATTACAATAGAATTCGGTACACAATATATAAAATGAAACATTTCTTCAAACAGGTGTTTCAAGATATCTTCTAAGAACTAGGAGAACAACTCCTGTTTAACGGTTCAACCAAAGAGGATGTAAAATTATCGTCAAAGAATATGTTTGCATAGCAAATGGTAAGTAAATATCCAGAAAACAAGCAGCATTTAATCGAACATGTTTTATCGATATTTATAAGATGAGCGCTCATATAATAAGAATTTTAAAAGTCAAATACTTATAACATAATAACAAATAAAAACAATTCCTATGACCCAAGTTAAACATTTCAATGAGAAAAAAAAATAACATATTCAAAGTATATATCAAAAACTAAGGAAATTTCCAGAGAATTAGAAACATTTTATCGAACCTGTTCGATGGATATCTATGGGATGGACGTGCATGTAAAGAGATTGATTGGCGTAAAATGCTTGTTACATAACAAGACATAAAAACAATACAAGATTAAAGTAACTGTTTTATTGATATGAAGTGGAGACTTCCAGTCGAGTTTCACAAGTACTGTATTAAACTTCTGATTGCTTCATAGAATATCATGCTGCTTAATAAATACGCAACCATTTTAGATGCTCATTATGTTCTCTTTAATAGCAACACTTTGTAATGCTTGTGATATATCTGATCGACGAACAGTGGTTTATAATAATATTATTGAGTATCCTATAGAAATACAACGTACATAATTACATTCACAACAAAAAGAAGGATTTGGAGGGTCGTTATCTTGGTGGAAACATTTTGCGTTGAATGACTATGTAGATGAGAGGCAAAACACTTAGTTAACATACTTAACATTTGGGTATTTAAAAAATCGAAATTATGCAGACAGAGTTTATCTATGAGCTTAGGTTCAAACAGAACGAAAAAGGAGAATTTAACAAAATAAGTTATTTAATGCATGATTTCAAAGTAACTAATGATCATATATATTCAGATTGTTAACGAATAAAAAGGAATAACAACTAAGCAATAAATATAATCGGTCAATGCTGATTGCAATGCGCACAACGCAATTGTGTTTTGGAATGAATTCTAGCAGACAAACTGGAATAAAATGAGAGGCGGCGGAACATACCAAGCGGATATTCAAACTCTTATGTCGATGACAAAGTGACAACGCCATGGCAAAAAAGACTAAAAGATTAATAACAGTTTACAAAACATAGCATAAAAACCTAAAGACTAAGCTACACGAACCCAACCAAAACCGGAGGTATCTCTTTATGTACCAACATTAAGCCGATATTCATAAAGGATCCAATTTGGAATAATCAGCTGTATGCTTTCCTTGGGTTATCTTTCATTGAAAAATAACTCGCAATATTTTGGGTGTTGAATTTTAAATTATCAAACGAAGCGTTAATATTTTACTTTTAATTGAGTAATGAACTTTTAATCCCCTGCGTATACTGTTTATATTTTTAACCTTGATATTTTACTTTGTACACTAAGATACGGCTTCATTGCTAGTAGATACATTTGTCTTTCAAAATATAACTGTCATGTAAGGATCGTAATGATGCTATGTGGATAAATTAATCCGTTTTTTAAGAGCTAAATTGACAGCGAGTCATTTCTACAATGGCTTCCATTATCACGATTAAATAATTAAGGTGGCGTAATGGGGAGATAATTTTGACAAAGTAGAATATTAACTGCACTGCATCAAGGTTATAAGAGCACAATTATTTGTTTACATTTTACCCCAAGATGGTACTCAGAATAGAATCTTGATCGGCTTTTGATTGGATGAAACAGGATTAAAATTACTTTTAATCGAAAGCTTATCAAATTAGATTTTAAAAAATCCAGAAAATCAAATTCACATTTTATAAAGTATAGAAAATATATTCCATTTCTGCACGTCGAAGGCATTAAAAATCGGTCTTTTTTATTAAGCGAATAAAATAGAAGATGTTTTTCAACTGCATTTTTAGCCAATTGTTGCCGCATGACCATATATATATATATATTTTTATTGTTATGCAACACTGGCAATTCTTGTAACAGGAACTGCAACCTGTTTTTTTCCTAGTTTGTGTAGTCTTCGAGAAATAAAATACGGAACACAACTGGTACCCTATGTAAAATGCATTATCAATAATTGCGCCATTATAACCTCATCTGTAAAACAGTTACATACATATTTAATCATTTACTCTAATCATAGCTTCAATAAACCATCGCGATTGGTTTGTTCTAAACAAATGCTTAAAACAACTGTAATGTTATTTTTCATACGTTATGTTAAGGAATCAACAGTTACAACGCAAAAGTGAAATATACACAAATTAAGTTTTATTGGATACAAAGCGAATCTTTTGTCTGTTATTCCAAATTAGCTACCACGCAAGGAACCTCAGCCTTAAAATAAACCTACATGATCATCACTATCTATAAATTTCAATACATTTAACAACCTTAACTGACTTTTACAGCTGTCAGTTAGAACCATACAGACAGTTTTATCCTTCTCAATCATTGTATAGTTTTATACGCTAGGTCTTTAATTCTATAGTTTTTCAATCCTTAAAAAGGCTGATCAGTCTCATATCGGTTTTACGCTTTTTTGCTTTTAATGGGCATGATAGGACAAACGATGAGACTAAATAAATGTCAACAAATATCACTACGTTATTTCTAAATATGTTCTTAATCAATAAAATTTATGAAGAATGATTGCTTACCACTTAGATATGTGAACTTAATTACCTAATGCATTGATTGTGCGCCACGATATGCCAACTTGTTTTTGTACTCCTATGAAGCAGAACTCATAGTACTAACAGTTATCAACGTGTCTCGTACTTAAGAGTTTTGCTGTGACGACTTTTAACAATTACAGTTCATTTAGACCCTATTATGTGTGGACTTTTTTTAATTTTCATACACTACTATTCAATTAGATCTATAAAAGTTAATGATTTTAAAAGTTAATGAAAATTAATACAAAATCGTATGAACTAACACATGTTACGGAAGTAGGAATATGCTACGTATATGTGTCCTTTACTGACAAGTCAATAAAGCATAATCGATCTAATTTTCTAGTAAAACATATTATTAATGAAAGAAAAATAGTTTATTAAATCCATTTTTCGATTTACACTTTTTATATTTTACGAATATGCAGTGAAACAGATGAAATTGGAATAAACATCAAACTAGCAATGTTTTAATTTTTCATAGGAATTACATTAAATGGTCGATAGCAATCAAATTAAAACAAATAATGATCTGATCTTATTGCTAAACTATCAATGATATTACAAAAATAGAAAAAAGGGAAAAACTGTAACAAGAGATTCGAACTATGTCTACATGTGTTAATCACAACGTTAACGCCTCAACTCATCCTAACCTTGCGCCTACCAACCCACCCTATATCAAAAAGCTTAAATACCGAACTCCAAGGTAAATAAAAAAAAGTCCATAAAACCTGACAAAATTAAACATTATAATATATCAACCAAAGAACGAATGGAAAACAACTTAGATATTCCTGACTCAGTACATGGATTTTCCGAAGAACATGGTGGGTTAAACTTTTCCTTCCCTTCCCTTCCCTTTTCACGAATGTGACTTACCGAATTAGACTATTTACCGGATTTGTAATAACATAAGCAACACGACGGGTGCCACATGTGGAGCAGGATCTGCTTACCCTTCCGGAGCACCTGAGATCACCCCCAGTTTTTGGTGGGGTTCGTGTTGCTTAGTCTTTAGTTTTCTATGTTGTGTCATCTGGTCTATTATTTGTCTGTTTGTCTTTTTATTTTTGGCCATGACGTTGTCAGTTTGTTTTCGATCTATGAGTTTGACTGTCCCTCTGGTATCTTTCGTCCCTCTTTTAAACCTGGTTTTACACCTTGATAAACCTCCCACTTAATTTGAGAGTGCCACAAACGTCGTTTTCTGTACCGTATCATTTTGATAGATGTAAAATCGACATTTGAATATCATCTGATTGATAGTTTTACTTCAAGAAAGGAGTTCGAACCCCAGTCACGGCAAATTTACATTTGCAAAAGCCGAAATTCTAATAGTTCTAGTTGTGAAAAGAAATCAATAAAATAACCACTTCAAACTTCATAAAATCAAGTACACCAAGGGAGCAATTGAATATAATTTAATGACTTTATTTTAGTGACAGATTAAATAAGCGTTCATTCTATAAAGGGTAAAATCGCGGTAAATGAATAGGCTGATGTCATAGCAGTAGATTGCATGTTTTATAACAAATGTATGGTTCGTTTGATCTAAGGTTTTTCATTGGCCAAAATTCAATTATGAGGTAATATGTTCTTGCTTTCCTTTGAATTTGCTTTTGTGTCGTTAAGAAAAAAAGAAATCATGCCTGAAAATAAAAACACATTGTTTTGAAAACCGTTCGAAAAGAAATGATAAAGTTTGTTTAAATATTGTCTAAAATTCATTATTGAAAAAGATTCAACAACCAA